AGAGTCTCCGACGATCAAGTTAGTACAGGGTATGGAGAGGGGAACCAGAGTAGGGTTTATGAGCCCAGTTCCAAATTCAGACTGTAAATTGTATTTGATCTCTGTACCTGGAGGGGACACCCCTATTTATACTTGAACTGCATAGAGGTAGATGGAGATGAATGTCTGAGATGGGTGTCGTATGAGGGCAGTCAAAGAACTTTGTGGGGACGCATGAACGCCCCACAATTGGCTCCATACGAGGAGAGTAAGATATCCCCTACTGTAACAGATCTCCTTCCCAAATCTGGTGCTCAGAGGCTGGGCCTCCCAACCTCAAATCGGCTGAGTTGGATCACCCCACATCAAAACCATTATATTACAATTCCAATCCTTCGCAGGCCTCCGCTAGTTAGTTTTGATGAACATATATGAGTGAATTGTAAGAGTCTTTATTCGTAAAATTATTATTGACGTTTAGATTAACAAACCACATGCACACATGTGTATTTACCATGATCATTCCTAACTGAAGGAATTTGAACCACATGCACACATGTGTATTTACCAAGATCATTCTAACAAGGGGATTTGGTTGAATATCTTGGGCCTAGCTCCGGTTATGGCCCACCAGTTAGGTGATTGTCAATTGAAAGGTAGCATTTGCCGTTGATGAAACACATGTTAAATAATTGAATCTTGCCCTTAAGCGGTAAAGCAACATGTCTCCCATCATATACTGTTTTAAGCATTTAATATATTCTGTTTAAAAAAGATAAAATGCAATGAAATTGCATAGGAGCACAGCCTTAATTTAAATTATTGGTGTCCGATGTAAGTAATGTTTATCATCATTAAAAAACCTAAGAACTTAAGAGGGTCGCTTTGCTTATGTACATATCATAAAATTGCTAGTTCAAATCTGGAAAAAAAAATGAATCAGTAACTTTCTCTGGAAAACATAAAATAACAATCAGATTGTTCTATAGTTTTATGTGCAAGACTGATTATCATGGGTGAGAATTAAAAAAATTTAGGAAAAAAAAAACAAGGGAATGAATGGAGTAACGTGTTAAACACATAATACTCCAAATAGTAGCGCGGATGATCTTGACCCCAACCCATTTGATCCACCTAACTTATCTACTTTGGAATCCATTTATACCCATCTAATTTATTAGTGGGTTAATATGGGTCGAATAACCCATTAGGGTCAATAGAAAATGGGTGAGAGTGGGTTGGGTAGAGGGTACCTATTAGGTTCAGGATGGGTTGGGTCAAAGTAAGCTTTGTCTGATATCTATACTCGACATATCTCAAAAAAATAACAGTTGAAGTGGCTCAAACTCAAACCTCTTAGAGCATTCACATCTCATTACAATTCAAAACCACCATGCCACATGTCATTTTAAAATTAAAAGTGAAATAAAATGGATTTTATTAAGTTTCGTGTTTACATGCAATTTTACACAAAAGCAGTTTTACAAAAGCAATTTTATAAAGTAATTTTATAAAAAGGACTTTTACGAAAGCATTATTATAAAAGTATTTTTACACAAAAGCACTTTTATAAAAGTACTTTTACATGAAAGCACCTTTATAAAAGTATTTTTACACAAAAGCACTTTTATAAAAGCACTTTTACATGAAAACACCTTTATAAAAGTGCTTTTACATGAAAGCACCTTTATAAAAGTACTTTTATGAACACTTTTACGAAAGTATAAAAGCACTTTTGCAAACACGCTTTTACGGGAGTACTTTTATAGAAGTACTTTTGTGAAAGCACTTACGAAAGCACTTTTATAAAAGTCATGCGTTTTTTTTGCATTCTCATCTATTTTCTATAATTTTTTGTTTTTTTGCATTTTTTGCAATTTTTAGTGCTTTTCTGCATAATTTTTGCATTTTGTGGTGTTTTTCATGCATTTCCTGCAATTTTCTAATATTTTTGCATATTTTCTGATTTTTCTACAAAAGTTTTGAAATTTCTACAATTTTTTTAGTTTTTTTTTGCATTTTCGTAATTTTCTGAATTTTTGGTATATTTTGCATTTTTTGTAAATTTTTCTACTATTTTCTATATTTATCTATAATTTTTGCATTTTTTTGTATATGGGTTTATCTAACTCGATTTTGTCACGTGACAATTTTGAGAGAGATTATTCTCTCAAAATTCTGTCTCGACCCATTTTTGTATTTATAGGTGAGGGTAAGTGGGTTAGTATGGATGAGGGTGATTAAAGATTAATATGGTTGGGTCAGGGTGGATCAGGGTTAGGGTGGATTATAACCCTTTAACAATGATAGATGATGGGTCATGGTGGGTTGGTGGGTCAATATGGGTGGATTGGTATTCAACCCTTACCCAACCCAACCCACCCATTTGCCACCCCTATCAAATAGCTTAGGCTGATTTTTCTTCCAAACAACCAAACTTCCTCCCTAATTTTCTTTCTTGTTGGGATATAGTAAACAACTACAATAGTTGGTAGAGTTGGTGGGTTAAAGAAATTCATGTATAGATCATTCATTATCAGTTATGATTGAAATATCACATTTAGGCCTTATTCGTGAACCTACTTTATCGGGTAAGTGCATTTATCCATATTCTTTTTTGTTTAATTAGTAAGCGTGTACATGTTTTGAACCTTGCAATTTTAGGCGATGATAATGATAATAATAATATATTCAAAAAATTTATAAATATGTATTTTTTATATATATTTTTTGTTTTTTATTATTAGTAGGATGTATATTGCAAAATTCAAATATGATTACATAAACACCTTTATCCAAATATGTGATAACCGGATCGAGTTGTGAAATTTCAAGTATTATGGATAGGCCTACCTATTTAGTTTGATTATTCTTTTTGCAATGTTTTATCTTTTTGGTGTATATTATTTTTGTTCATGTATTAAATAAATATAAAATATAAATAAAAGGAATTGAATGAGGTGAAAGGAGTAGTTCAATTTACAATTTAAACCTCACAATTAAATAGGGACTAAATTAAAAAATGAGTATTTTAGTTAAAAAAATGTTTCATAGTCTGATCCATATTTTAATAGTAGTGTAAATATAAAATCATAGATGTGTTCAATTTTTTCTACAATTTTGATATTTATGTGTATAAAATAAATCTGATATGTCACGCATACCTTTTAATTATTATGATAATTATATAATATTATACATGTGCTTGAATATTTTTTTTTGCAAAATTTATGCATTTTTTGTTTTTGTATTTTTATATTTTATTAATTTTTCTTAATTATTTATAACATTAAATGTTAACACATTTGACCCAAAAGTTAAACTATTGATCTTTGCTAAACAATAAAATAATTTTATTTTTTGTTAGTTCTAAATTATGTATTTCATTTTCATTATCAATAAAAATATTTTTTGTTTATTACACTTATTTTTTAAATTTGATTAAAAAATATCATAAATGTGTATTTTTTTTCTATATTTTTGTAATGTTCCATATTTATTTCTACCTTAAAAATTTTATTACCTAACTATGACTTTATAAGTTGATCAATTTGATACGGATGGTTGAATTGCTAAGCCACCACTTGGACAATGAATGGTTTTGTTTTTTTAGTTAGCTTTAAAATATATGGATTTGTATTTTTAAAAATGTCGACATAGATCTTATTAGTATCATTTATTAGTGAAAAATAACTTAAATATAGGATTTAATAAGAGAAAATGATAGTTAATGTATTGAATATAAAACTTAATGAGAGGTCAATAAATAAGGTAAAAAGTAATAATTGAAGTTACGTTTTCAATCCTTATAATTAGAGATGGACTAAATAGACAAATATGAACATTTTATATATATTATAGATTCCGGATAAACGTATCTTATGGGGTATTTTTTATTATTTTAATTTTTTTTTTTCATTTCCCTTCTACTTGAAAAACTCAACGTAGTCAAATCTAAGAAACCGGATAAGTGTTATCTAAGAAATTTCTGATCATCCTATGTATTTTTAAAATAAATAATAATATATAATCAATAATAACCAAAATCCCATTACCAACCCCTTCTTCAAAGCCCAACAAAATGAATCAGGCTTTAACGTTTTATGGAAGAAATAACAAATTGTATTGATAATTCGAAATAATTCAGTAGAAAAAAATCTCTTCCATATAAATTTGTATTCATCAATGGAAAATGCAACAATAATACAACATCATCATTATCAAATATCAAACATCCCCTTAACATTATATCTGAAAAAAGATTGGCCACCTATTTGATGGAAGATTGCATTTGTTCACAAATTCTCTTACTAGATTTTAAAGGAAAATATAAATTATTTGAATTAAAGTTAGATATAAAAGGGCAATAGGTGCACGCATAAAGCGACAATCTTGATGGATGGAAGGGAATCGAAATCGGGTCATATCATATCATAATGGTCCTCCTTTGTGGATTTGTTTAAATCATGTCATGCTTTCCATTTTCTTTGACCTGAAAAATAAAAAAATATAAAGTGAAGTTAGAATCGGATCTTATACTTTTACCACACAAAATAAAGTTTCCCACGTGAACGACAAACTTTTGTGGCCGGGAGCCGACCTCTTCTGCTCGTCTGACGCGAGCGTCGTTCCGTCATTTTGTGAAAAGACCAAGGGCATTTTGAGCATTTCAAGTATATCCCCCTATGGTCCCCTTGCTTTCATGCTCGACAACCGTCAGCCGGTGAATAAAGGTAGGACTGCGGTGAGTTAAAGAGACGAGAAATCCAGCTCACCGCCTAGTACCGCTACGTGTCCGAATCCTGGCTTATACAACCCCCTAGCGTATCTTATCATCAGGTGCGCCACACGATGCTCGATGGCGTTGAGGGCTCAAATTCGATTCCCCGTAAACCCTAATAGTGAATTGGCTAGAATACCCCATTGACTAATTTGGCCCATCATCGAGAACTTAAGACGGGAGGGTGTTTGCGTCAACGGGAGATTCTACATTCTAGCCTTCTAGGGCAATCAATTACGGAACTGGCTTCCTAGAAACTTCAAGGATATGGCCTTGGTTATATAGAATATTTAGTGGCAATCTTTTGAACACGTCTCAGTTGCGCTATATAAACAGGTTCGTCCCATCTTTCGACTACGAGAATTCTCTGTTGCCGCTAGAGGAAGGAGGTGAAGTCTGTTCTCGGGTTCCCCAATTTTTTAGGGTTTGTTTCAAGTATATCTGAAGTTTTCGATTATAAATTGGTAGGTTTTTTGTTTTTGTTTTTGAATGTAGTGTTTTGATTTACCCCTTATTTAACTTTTGTTGTGGGTTCTGACTTGAGTCTCCTGCAATTTTCAGTGTTGCCGGAAGGATTAAAGGGAATTCTGCACTGATTGTGGTTTCGATTAAACAAATAATATTTGTGGGTAAGGCGATCTTGATATTCGTTTTGGGATTAGATAAAACCTGTTTCCATGTAGTTAATCTGTTTAAAACTTGATTCGTTGCCTGTTGCCAAGCAAAAAGAAGTGTGATTCGTCTCCTATATTTTTGGAGTTCTTTCTGTTTTTTCTCTTACCTTCGCATTGTTGACTAGTCTCTGTTTTATCATTTTCCTTTGGGTTCTCTAGTTCCCGCTTTTAAGCTGCCGAGTCTCCTTTCATTTGATGTGTATTTTGCATTACCAGAAAAATAGGTTGGTTTCTTCACAGATTGGAATTAAATTATTATATTATGCATGTAGAGACTATACATAAAATTTTACTCCATAGTTATATTATTAATTAATGGGGATAAAGTGAAGTGTGGCGGAAGTATATTTTTCGCAATATTTCTTGAATCGCCTTATTTTTGGTTGTATTGATTAGCCTGTCTGATTTGATTATATGGACTTTTCCTATTAACTGGTTTTTGATATCTTTGTATTTTACTGGTCTACCTTTTCTTTCTCATGAAAGACATATAGGAAATTTAGGCTGGAGGATACTTACTTGTTATATATTTTTACTTGTGTCGTATGAACTTTTAGGCTGTGTTTGGTTTGAAAGAAAAAACTAGGGAAACATAGGTTTCCCTATCTTTCCCTTCCTTTCCTTACTTTTTCCTTCAAACCAAACACAACCTTAGTTAATTGTATGTGGAAAATATGCACGAGAGTTGATATTATCATATATGTTGGTCCATGAAAACCATCTTCCGGATTAATAATTTTATTTCTTCCTTTTGCCTTTGCTTTTGTAAATTGCAATTCTATCTTCCATGTCTTGGTCTATTTTTCCTTTTTTTTTGTTAACTGTGGATAATAACTTAATATTTGTTCTATTTTTTATTATTTTTTCTTTTAGTGATTGCCTGTTTGTTTTTTATCTTAAGGAGTTATTAATTTTGGTTAAATTCCTTTTGCTGTTGTTCTGCTTCAAAACTTATTTTGTTTTTGTTGGTTGCTTTTCAAGTAAAATAAGCTATCATTTTTAGTTAATGCAGTTTTGTGGTACCTGTATTGTTTGTTTCATTAAGTTTATCTGGGTTTCCTTTAGATTGTCTGTATTTTCTCTTACAATTTGTTATTTCATCCTCCTGGAGGTTCTCTTGTTATATGTGTAATTATTTATTCTATTTCTGCTTATCTCCACTTCAGGCAAGACTGAATGATCTAATGGAGGCTAAACGTGGAAAGAAGTCCAGTAGTAAAACCTTATTCTATGAGGCTCCTCTAGGTTACAGCATTGAAGACGTTCGACCTCACGGTGGGATCAAGAAATTCCGATCTGCTGCTTACTCCAACGTAAGTTTCAGTTCTTTTTATGATATCGAAATTAATTCATGGAGTGTTAATCTATTGCCAACTAAATTTCTGGTTTTGTGATCTTATCTGCAGTGCGTGCGGAAACCATCCTGATATTCTTAAAGTGCGACGTAGCTACTTGACGTGGTTCACAATAGTTTTTTTTTTATTTTTTCAATTGCTTAGTTTCTATCAGTCTATTCTGCTTCCAAGTCTCCTCCTCTCTTCCTTGTCTCCTCTCTCTTTTGCGATCTTGCTTCCTCTAGGCAGAGATGGCCTTATCTGCATCTGCAATCGGATTTGAAGGCTACGAGAAGAGGCTTGAAGTGTCATTCTTTGAGCCAGGCATCTTTGCCGACCCTGACGGAAAGGGCCTTAGATCACTTTCCAAAACACAGTTAGATGAAATACTGAAGCCAGCTGAGTGCACAATAGTTGCATCACAGTCAAATGCCCATCTTGACTCGTATGTCCTCTCAGAATCTAGCCTCTTTGTTTACCCTTACAAGATTATCATCAAAACTTGTGGCACAACAAAGCTGCTTCTATCAATCCCGGCCATCCTGAGGCTTGCCAATAGCCTATCCCTCTCTGTAAGAGCTGTGAAGTACACACGTGGGACCTTTACATTTCCTGGAGCACAGCCATATCCTCACAGAAGCTTCACAGAGGAAATTGCTGTCCTTGACAGTTACTTTGGTAACCTTGGGTCTGGCAGCAATGCATACGTGATGGGAAATCTTACCAAATCGCAGAAGTGGCATGTTTACTCTGCAAGCGCAGAGGTTAATCATTCAGGACCTATCTATACTCTTGAAATGTGCATGACTGGTTTGGACAAGAAGATGGCATCTGTTTTCTACAAGGCTGAATCAAGCTCAGCAAGTTTGATGACTGATGTGTCTGGTATTAGAAAGATCCTTCCAGGGTCTGAGATTTGTGATTTTGAGTTTGACCCCTGTGGCTACTCCATGAATGCCATTGAGGGAGCTGCAATTTCTACCATTCATGTTACACCAGAAGATGGTTTTAGTTATGCAAGCTTTGAAGCTGTTGGATATGACCTGAAAACTGTAAATCTTTCAAAGTTGGTCGGGAGGGTATTGGAATGCTTCCAACCAAGGGAATTTTCTGTAGCCATACACGGTGAAGCTGCTGGTAAAGTTGGGTGGTACTTCCCCCTAGATGTGCCGGGGTATAGCCCTGGAGAGAGAAGCTACCAGACGCTCGGAATGAATGGTGCCATTGTTTATCAAAGTTTCATCGAGGCTGGCAACTGTGGGTCTCCCAAGTCGGTTCTGAAATGCTGCTGGAAAGAGGAGGAAGACTACAAGGAAGACAGAATTATGGAGTAATCTGGAAATTGTTGCGGCAGTGTCTATGTTTAGCTATTATTATTAGAGTCTTCAAGCTTTGTAGTTTGGTTCCGCTCTTTCCCATAAAGGGTGGAACAGTCATCAGTGCTTCTTGTTTTGATTATGATTATATCGTGGGCGTCAGTACTCGAATTGTGTTTGTCATGGTTTATATGTTTATGTTGTGTATCCATTCATCACTGGGTATGCATGCAGCAGTTTGTCGTTATTGTTGACAATAGATTGAATTGTGATGTTCTTGACTTAATTGTGTTGGAATTTTCTTTTTCCTTGGGGTTGGGCAAGGTGAAACACGATAGAACAGATGTCCTCGGGAAGGTCTCGAGGCCTAACAGCGGTCCAATTTGATGAGAAGTCTTTCTTTCATGGAGAACGTTTGGTTATTTCAAATCTATGATGCCTGACAGACATGGTACCGATACCATAAGGGCTTTATCAAGTTACGAAATTTGATATTCATCCTTAGGGCATGCTTACTTTGGATTTGGGGTCCTGATATTCAAAAGTCTAAGCTGCCCATGACAATGTTGTGATGGATGCAATACAAGATAGTCCATTCGGAAAGGCCCCAGCCGACTGACTGTTGTAAATATGATCTTGAATGCTGAAAGAGCACAGTCCAAGGGAGGCTGCGGAGTTGATATTTGGAGAATTCAATAGAAGCCTCCATCATCCTCATCCGGTCATCCCTCGTGTTGCTTCCTTCCCACGTAATAACTTGGAATTTAATCATTTATATACACGCTTCTTTTTTAATAATTTAATCTTTAATCCCTGATTTTATCAGGTCGTTGGCACCTTACGAGGTGTAATTTTGTGATTTGAATGAATGAATTTGCCTTTCGGCTTAAGAAAATGTAAACCGTGAAAGAAAGTCCGATTTTCCATTTTCGGTGGTTAAAGTTCGCTGATCGCTCTTTAAGCCCATCCATCCAAGAAGACTCTTCTTTGATCCTTTCTCCAAAACTAAGCATAAGACATGGTTGGGAAACCTGAGAATTTACTTAATCGGTATGCACATGGAAAAAAATATCATAATTGAAGATATTGTTGCATTCGTTTAACCTTTTTAGGAGTTCACATCTGTGTGCATTTTCGCCGTGTATTGGGAACATCTCGGAGTTCACATCTGTGCTGCGGGACGTTGTGCGGCACAAATCTAAACTCCCTTTTAGACCCAAATTGATTGTAATTACTAATTTTTGCGTTATGGAGGGATACTCAACCCATTCGGACCATCCATTGCATAGGAGGAGATCCCTAAATTAGCAAGGTATTCATGTCTTCATTTCATATCAAACTCTATTGTTGATGAATACATTTCTGACAATATCACCAAACCCCATTTTGGTGAGTTCTATTTATACTGTTATTGTCTACAGACGATAACTAGGTTTGTTGTCTTGACTCTTGAGTTTATTTTCATTCCTTCCATCACTGTTGTTATTGTAATTAGTTTGAAATTTTCTTTCCAAGTCGATGGCCAACTTGATTAGATGTTTGGAAAGAGTGTAATTGAACTCATCAAATGGACACCATCTCAGTATTGTTATTAATGTTGTTGTTATTGGTGGAGATCACATCTGCACCGCACACCATCTCACATGCATATCTCAGCATGCATTATTTGGGAGATGTTTACAATACACGGTTGGGATATGCTGTGGGGTGCCCTCTCTGGAGTGCAGATGTGAATTCTTATTGGTGGTGGTGGTAGTATTAACAAGATCCAAATAAAAATCTAATTGCACAAAAATTGCTTAACCATGATGTGCCAACCACCTCAGTTGGTAAGATCTCTGGTTGATTCTTATTGGTGGTGGTGGTAGTGTTAACAAGATCCAAATAAAAATCTAATTGCACAAAAATTGCCTAACCATGATGTGCCAACCACCTCAGTTGGTAAGATCTCTGGTTGGCTTGTAGCAGATGCACAACTTTCAACTTGGGATCAAATCCCACCTCCCCACGTCAACCCCACAATACATTGCAGCTATACATTGGAAACATCTCTCCACGAAGCAAAATTTGGGTTTGGCCGGGAGTATTATCGATAGGGGAACATGCAATCTCTCAATGTAAAACCCCAAAAAAGATAAAAAAGAAGAGTAAAAAGAAGAAAATGACTAACCATGGGACCGAAGGTGGTGACTGATGATGAAATATAACAATCAAATCAATCTCCGGCCAACATGAACAAACACTGGTATCTTAAAGAATGGGAACTATAATGAATTTTAGAATCATGTCCAAATACTCATTCTATTCTTTGTGTATCGTCCAATGTGCGTATCACATTGGTAAGGGCAGGAGAAGCACAATAGAAACATATGTATGAAATAAAGCCTTGAAGTTTTATAAACCCAAGGCCAGCATGTGATAAAAATGAAGCTTTTGAAAAAAGTTGAAAAATGAGGGCAAGTAAAATAGAATGGTTGATCGTGTACAAAATACAAATGAATAAGTGATTTATCACACAGATTGGAAGGGCCAAAAGTGTTAGGGATTAGTTGATTAATATAGTAAAAAATGATTTAAGAATTCATAATATTGACACCGAATAGAATATAATGGTGACTTAACAACTAGAGAGAGAGAGGATGACCTGCTTCTGAAATGGATACCCAACCGATCCTGACCCTTTACAAACCTATGAATACCCTCAACCCAACTCCATCTTGACCCAATTCCCCTGATTCTAATGAGTCACTCTTATCTATAATGACCTGCTTCCGAAATGGATGGGTATGAGTGGATTTATAAGCGGCTGGATTGAATGAGTTGGGGTCAATATTTCCACCCATTATCCCCATATAATTGGGAGTTGGGACAATGCTTACATGATATATATCATCGCAATACCCGGGTTAATTAGGCCGATATCGGGCTGATCAGTCCATTCAACAAATATATGAATACTATTAAAAGCTACGATATAATGTGAAAGAATTAGTGGCTGTAGTTTAGTGGTAAGAATTCTACGTTGTGGCCGTAGAGACCTGGGCTCGAATCCCAGCAGCCACATTATTTTTAAATTTTTTAAAAAAGAATCTCGATCTCACATTTCCACGGACCTACAGTCCAAACACCCACGTCTATTTCATAGAATGGACGCTTCAGATTAATTAGGTCTTTTGATGAAGCAAAGGGCAACAAGTACATCATAACCGTGAATATGGAATTGCAAATTTCACTTGCTATCGTCGACTCCCTTAAACCCTTTCCTGCCTTGCAAGTTGCAATTGGCCTAAAACCCTCGAAAGTCGAAACGAAGGAGGGCAGAAACGAGACTCTATTGTCAGCTCCCTTGAACCCTTTTTTTTTTTTTTTTAATTTTTCGTTCCTCGGGCCACTTCTCAGTTAAAGAACATATAGAGGAAGGGAGAGATGGGAAGCGACAGCGAGACCGAGAAATCGCAGGACAGGAAGAAGATGTTGTCACTCGCTCCCATAGCGAAACCTCTTGCAGGGAAGAAGCTTTGCAAGAGAACTCTCAAGCTGGTCAGAAGAGGTATACTGTTGTTTGATTTCTTTTTTAGCACTTTCTACAATCGAAAGGCCATTAGATGTCTCTATATTTCTGTATGTTGAGAAAAAGTAGTTGCTTTTGCCTCCTTAATCATGCATTTTCGGGCCTTCCTGGTTTCTTCGTTATTTGTTATAACTGTGTTCTGGGCATTTTTGTTTTTCAGCTTCAGAAGCTAAATGCTTGAAGAGAGGAGTTAAGGAGGTGGTTAAGAGTATTCGACGTGGTAACAAAGGGTCTGTCTTCTTATATTTCATGTATTATTTATTCTTCTGTTTTGTTTTCTGAGGAGACGGTCCTTATTTTAGAGGCTTACTGAAAACTGCTAAATGGTAAATACATTGAGATTATCTCTGAGTGATAAAAGTTGGTTCTCAACCAATTCCATCAACCTATTTGCCTCATATCACAATTCTGTTCTTGTTCACTGATAAGTAGCAAATCTAATACACACGGAGAGAGATATACTATGCTGATTTTGTTATAAATAATCACTATTTTTTTTATCTGTTGGATAAGTAATTCAGGAGGTTAGAAGAACAGCAACAACAATTAGGTGGCTACAGGCTCCTTAATGGCTCAGTGTCACGAAGTGACACAATAGGGTGCTTGGCTAGAGGTTTTCTAGATGTTTCTTGAGGTTTCTATCCAATTCTGCATGTTTTTGGAGCAACCTGGGAAGAAGGATCTTTGGCATGCAATTCGGCTGACTTGCTTGGAGGGCCAAGTGAGTGCCACACGACTTAGCCAACAGGAGCAGTCAGGTCGTGACATTAAGCTGAAGTTAGATTGCATTCCATTCCCTCAAATATTTTACTATTTGATTATTTTAACCCCAAAATACAAAGCAATATCTCATTCAATTCATCCATTTAAGCCATTAATAAACAGCCCCTTAATGTTGTTTGCTTTAAGTTGAAAACGTACAATTCATATGAGATAGTACTCCAGTGAATGTTCCAGTGGCAATGATACAATCTCGGGCTGACAAGCATGAGAGTATTGGTGAGTCTCAGAGTGGTCACTTTGTAGAAGAAAATGCGGGAGGTTAGGTCAGTATCTAGTACACTCCTCCGAAGACCATGAATAGCTGGGACCAGCATTGGGTAATGGCCGTTTTTGATTGTCTTAGTGGCACTGGCACATAAAAGCATGGCCTTGTTGTGTGGAATATCATTTGAATATTTAATCCTTAAAGGCATTCTGATTTGGATGCTTGAAGTGCTAGCTAGATGGCTAGACCTATATTTTAAATAGGGATGTGGGCCATGTGCAATCTGTTGCCAGGATACCATCTCCCACATGGATGGGAACTTCATTGAGCAAGATTAAGACAATCCCTTTACCTTTTTAGGATGTATTCCATAAATAAACTTACTCAACTTCTTGAGTAAATAAATATGCTCCTTTAATTTCATGAATTGATTATTGAACTTGTCTCAGTGTACTGGAAATTGCAACTTAACAATGTAAGTATCACTAAATGGTGCATTGGTGCCCACTGCCAAGGATTGTTATTTGTCTTGTATGCTGCTGAGAAGATTACCAGAAGTTTTTTATTTTTATTTTTTGACAAAAGGTAAAGTATTAATCAACCAGTCCTTTGTACAATGAGAAGCTGTACAAAACATAAACAAAAGGATCTCAAAAGAACAATGCATTGATAATGGTTGTTGGACATAGCATGGAAATATTGTAACACCAAGACCTTTAGGCTGAAGCTGCTCTATGAAAATAATTGACAGAAGTAGGGCAAGTCTACTTCCATTTTTTCCAGGAAACCATTATCAATGCATTGTTGTTGGACTTAGCATGATCTTCCTTCCAGAGAAACTTGTTCACTTATCCATATCCACCTTTTGCCCCTGTTTCTAACATTGCCATATTGGAAAGCTATTGAGTTTTACCTTTTTTAGAAATGAAAGTTTGTTCTAGAAAAATAGTTATCCGAAGGGAGTCAGACTTCATTATTTATTTTTGGATAGTAAAATAAAAATTTTATTAAAAATAAGAAGAGAATATAAGAAAAAAGGGCAGCCCAGTGTACAAGATTCCCACCAATGTGGGGTCTGGGGAGGGATAGATGTATGCATCCTTACCATGCACATAGGAAGGTGACAAGAAATCACTGGAGAGAAGAAATTAACCACCCTTTGCCCAACCAAAAGCCAACTCCGACATCAACATCACAAATCAAAAACAACCTTTCCAAAAAAATAATGATCAAACCAAAAGAAAGACAAAAAACATCCAACCAAAACATACAAAAAGCAACTCAATTACCCAAGATCTAAACTTCAACCTTAAACATATTTGACAAACCACCTGCCACTCCAACTTCAAACTCAGTCCAACTCCCAAGCAATTGCTAGAGCTCACAATAGTTGAACACTGGACTCCAACTTAACACCACACAAAACTTTTCTTGACTACTTAGCCTCTTCAAACTTCATAAAATTAGTGAAGCATGGATGAGGTTGATAACATGCTTTTAAAATTTTAGAAGCTAGGATCCAAATACTATGGAAGTATTTGTATGTGGAGGAAATATGAGAAACACCTATTTCGTTGGTGCCCCTACTTTAGATTAGTAGAACCTCAATATTGTGGTTTGGATTTTGATCCTTCTCAAAACCCAACCTCCTATAAAGGTGACAGTGAAGTAAAATAGGGGATGGCAAACATGTTTAACCAGTGATTTAAAAGGCGTGCTTGAGGCGCACAGACGAGGCGCATTTTAGGTTAGGCGCCTCGCCCAGGTCCTAGGCGTAACCCATTCAAAAGGCGCATGCTTGGTGCGCCTAGGCGTGTACCTGGTGCGCCTTTTGAAAATTTGCCGCTTTTTCCTCTTTTTTTTTTAGTCTAGTGGCTGGGCTGGGGGCTCCGTCCCCGGACCCCCGTGCCACGTCCCTCGAGGCCAGCCCAAACAAGTCCATGTTAGGGTCGTAAATTTTTAGTTTCGCTCACTTTGCTCACTCACAAAGCTTCAAGAATCTCCTATTTGGTAATGTTGTCCATTCATTCATCCTAATAAAATATCTTCTTAAAAGCAATTAAAACTATAAAATTATTATTTTTTGTGTGAAAACTAAGAATTTAAGACCCTAACATGGACTTGCTTGGGCTTACCTCGAGGGGCGTGGCACAAAGGCGGCTCGTAGAATTAGGAATGTAATGTCACATTAGCTACTTGATGCAATTGAGAAAAAAAGGGATTGTGGGTTTTATATGCTTGAAAATGTTTTATATGTTTGATTTCATTTTTAAATTCTCATTGAATATGCTTTACATATTATATTTATGTATTTTAATTTTAGATAATAGGTTTTTTAAAACTTAAGTTTATATTTTTATTAATATTATGTTTTAGATTTTTAGATTTTTTTGCATTATTTTTGAATTTGTAGCTTTTTTTTTTAAATTGTTCGCCTTGCCTTAAAAAGGCGTGCGCCTCGCCTTGTGCCTTGTGCCTTAGGCGCAAAATGGCCCTTGTGCTTTTTAACACTATGATTTAAAAGGCGTGCCTAGGTGCACAAGCGAGGTGCATTTCCTAGGCGCAGCCCTTGCAAAAGGCGCACGCTTGGTGCGCCTGATGTGTCTTGTGCCTCGGCCCAGGTGTGCGCCTTTTGAAAGTTTGACGCTTTTTTGCTTTCTTTTGAACCTCCTATTTGGTAATGTTGTTCATTCATTCATCCTACTAAAATATCTTCTTAAAAACAATTAAAATTATAAAATAATTATTTTTTGTGTGAGAAGTAAGAATTTAGGACCCTAACAAGGACTTGTTTGGGCTTGCCTTGAAGAGCGTGGCACAAAGGCAGCTCGTAGAATCAGGAATGTAATATGTTTTACACTGCTGTGTTGTGGTCAGTGTGGGAGGAAAGAAACAATAGGTTCTTTAAAGGCAGATGTAGATCCAAGGAAGAGGTTGTGGAAGGAATAACTACTAAGGTTATCCATTGGTTGAAATCCTGTGATCTTTTTAAGGATTTCTCAGTTGAAGACATTTATAGAAGTTGGGGTATTGTGGCATCTACTACTACTTCCAAAGCTATGATATAGGAAG